AGAAAGGATGCTGCTAAAACAAAGAAGAAATATTATCCCAAATCAGCGACTCGGCCCAGAAGGAGAAAGGATGATGCTAAAGCAAAGAAGAAATGGATTCCTAAGAATGAAGATGTTGCTCTGATAGCTCATACCTCTCTAAGAGCATCTTCCAGATAAGACTGGTATTTTAATAGTGGTTATTCTAATCACATGACTGGTGTCAAGAAGTTCTTGGTTGATATTGAACCTCATTCACTAGCTATGTCACCTTTGGAGATGGGTCGAAAGGTGAAATAAAGGGAGTCGGGAAGTTGGAATACGATGGGCAGCCAAGTCTTGATAAGGTGTTGTTTGTCAAAGGATTGACTATTAATCTAATAAGTATCAGTCAATTGTGTGACCAGAGTCTCAAAGTTAACTTCACCAAGTCTGAGTGTCTGGTGAAGAATGATAAAAGTTAACTTCACCAAGTCTGAGTGTCTGGTGAAGAATGATAAGGATGAAGTTATCATGAAGAGAGACAGATCCAAGGATAATTTTTACTTGTGGATTCCTCTTGAAACAAAATACACCTCTACCTGCCTTATGTCAAAAGAGGGTGAGGTGAAGATGTGGCATCAGAAACTTGGCCACTTACATTTGAAGGGAATGAAAGAAGTCATGTCAAAGGAAGCTGTCAGAGGTATTCCCCATCTAAAAATTGATGAAGAAAGAGTGTGTAGTGAATGTCCAATCGGAAAGCAGACAAGGATGTCACATAGGAAGCTTCAACATCTGACCACTTCAAAAATCTTAGAGCTACTACATATGGACTTGATGGAACCTATGCTGGTTGAAAGTCTTGGAGGAAAGAGGTATGTTTATGTTGTGGTGGATGACTTTTCCAGATATACTGGAGTGCATTTCATAAAGGAGAATTCTGAAGTATTTGAAGTATCCAAAGGAATGTGTCAAAGACTTGAAAGAGAGAAGGATTGTGGCATAGTTAGAATCAGAAGTGATCATTGGAAGGAATTTAAAAACAGCAAGTTTGATGATTTCTGTTCAGTTGAAGGAATCAGTCGTGATTTTTCTTCGCCCATAACTCCTCAGCATAATGGTGTGCTGGAGAGAGAAAATAGGACAATTCAAGAATATGCAAGGGTTATGCTTCATGCCAAGAAACTTCCTTATCACTTTTGAGCTGAAGCTATGAACACTACCTGCTATGTTCTAAACAGAGTAACTATCATATATGGAACCTCAGCTACCTTATATGAGCTATGGAAAGGAAGGAACTCAATTGTAAAATACTTTCATGTGTTTGGAAGCAAATGTTGCATTTTGGATGACCGTGAGCAAAGAAGAAAAATGGATCCCAAGAGTGATGAAGGAATCTTCCTGGGATACTCTATAAATAGCAGAGCTTACAGAGTGTTCAATTCAAGAACAAAGGTTATAATGGAATCTATAAATGTGGTGGTTGATGACTCACCTACAGAAACTAGTGGCACAGATGATATTGGAGCCTTCTTTCCTATAAGTGATGAAAATGTCACAAAGGATGTGGGAACATCACATGATACTTCTGAAGATGTTGCAGATTCAAGTAGTGTTGATTTTTCACCAGAGACTGATAAAGTTTACAAGGGTCCCTCCACCAAAATTCAGAAACATCATTCTAAGGAGCTTATAATAGGAGATCCAAATGATGGAAGAATGACCAGGTCCAGAGAAGTTGTTGCCGGTGTTTTCTTTGTTTCAAAGATGGAACCCAAGAATGTCAAGGAGGCATTGACTGATCAATTATGGATCAATGCTATGCAAGAAGAACTGTAGCAATTCAAAAGGCATGAGGTCTGGGATCTTGTTCCAAGACCTGAAGTTGTCAAAGGATGAAAAAGGTGTTAGTGTTGATCAGAGTTTGTATAGAAGCATGATTGGAAGTCTTCTATATCTTACTGCAAGCATACCTGACATAACCTTCGTTGTAGGAGTTTGTGCTCGATATCAAGCTGAACCTAAAGTTAGTCATATTAATCAAGTCAAAAGGATTCTGAAGTATGTGAATGGTACTTGCAACTATGGTTTGTTATACTCACGTAGTTGTAATTCTATGCTAATAGGATATTGTGATATTGATTGGGCCGGTAGTGCTGATGATCGGAAGAGCGCCTCTGATGGATGCTTCTTTCCAGGGAACAACTTGATTTCTTGGTTTAGTAAGAAACAGAATTGTGTTTCTTTATCTACTGTTGAGGCTGAATACATAGTTACAGGCAACAGCTGTTCTCAAATGGTGTGGATGAAGCAGATGCTGACCGAGTATAATGTCACTCAAGATGTCGTGACTCTCTTCTGTGACAACTTAAGTGCCATAAATATTTCAAAGAATCCTATTCAACACAGCAAGACTAAACATATTGACATTAGGCATCAGTTTATTAGAAATCTTGTGGAAGACAAAGTTGTTGCCTTGGAGCATGTTACCACAGAGAATCAGTTAGCTGACATCTTCACTAAAGCGTTGGATGCTAATCAATTTGAAGTGTTAAGGGGCAAGCTTGGGGTTTGCCTGTCTGGAGATCTGTAACAACCTATTTGGTGTGGGAATACTATTCATGTGAGTACATACATGTTCCCACCAAATAATCAGTGGTCTACTGTGACAACTCATTTCTTTTTGTGTGGTTATGTAAGGGCATAATGCCCAGGATATTTTTGGCACTTTATGTGCTTGTTCGAACTTTTATCTATTATATTTTTTTTGGTTATTTAGTTAGTTTAACTACCTTTGTCATATTATGGATAAAAAGGGAGAGTAATACTAATTTTACTAATCAATTTTTATGGTAACCACTGACTATTGTTGCTGCCATCGAGAGGGAGGTTGTAGTCTTCCGTTGCTGATGTTCTGTAGTTTTGGCCTCTGACCGGTGTTTCTGCTTGCAAGAGTTATTTAGTTAGTTTTAGCTAAAATCTGCCAAAGGGGAAGATTGATAAGCCCATGCCTTTAAGATTGACATCAATTTTGGTAAAACTAACATGTCAGCAAGATGTTGGACAAGATGTCCTAACATGATGAAGAACTAACCGAAGACTAACTGAAGAGCAAGATGTTGGACAAGATGTCCTATCATGATTGATTCGACATCGTTGTCTGTTACTTTTTAATTTTAATTATGCTATTTTTAATTCAAGTTTTCAGATTATTCTGGGAATATTTGTTTTGCCTGGATGGCGCCCAAGATTGTGGAATCAGAGATTCCGAGTTTTTTTTTTTTGTAAGATGTTGTTCCTGAGTGTGGAGACACTTTAGGAAACTTAGAATTGAAGAAACTATTATTGCGGATAATTAGTAGCAGATTCTCTGGAACAGAGTTGCTGCTACTTTTGTGAAGCCCAAATCCAGCCTTGTTATGACTATAAATAGGATGGATTTAACTTAGGTTAGGTATCGAAAATCACATTGAGTTTTTGTGAGTTTTTGTGTTAGGGTTTGTGCTTTGCGAGTCTCTCTTGTATTGTGTGAATACTCGAGTTGGACTGTTTTATTGAGTTGTAATTGTTCAATCACTACTGTAATTGAAAGAGAATTGAGAAGGGTCTCATACCTAAGAGAGTCTTAGATAGAAATATAGCACGGGTAGTGATTAAGTGATAAGTTGTAAACAGAGGAGTTTAGCTTAGAATTAATACTATCTAGTGGATTTCATTTCTGGTTTGGTAGCCCCCAAACGTAGGTGTTGTTATTCACCGAACTGGATAAAAAATCTGTGTAATTTATTTTCTGCATTTTATATTCTACTCCTTATTGTCATTGAGTTTGAAGCAGAGATCATGTGTCTCGACATCTCTCAAGACATCTGCAATCTGCTATGCCAGAATTTTATATAGGATGTATTAAAAAATTCTTTAAAAAAAAAAACTCAGATGTAGTAAAGTTAAATTTGTGGCCCTATTATATTTTAAAAATGGAAGGATCCAAAAGTTGCATATAGATGATATTTGTTATTGAACCTTCTAACTTTGTTCCTGCTATAAGATGAAATTAATCATATTTTTATATCAGTAAAAGAGAAGGCATTTACAAATTAGATTGAATTTTTTGTTGTTGCCTTAGCACTTCAATTTAATGGGAAGGAGCTCTTGGTAAATCAATAATTATTTCAATCAAGATTCGAACAGAGATTCTCCCAAACAATTTAATCTGTTTTTTTTTTTATCATTACAATTTCTTATATATATTAAAAGTTTTTAAAATTTTGAATATTTTATAAATCATTATATAACCAAAACTCTGTAAATCTAGACTAATATATAAAAACCGGAGACACTTAACGAGTTATGGATACATAAAAATGTTTATAAAAAAGATTTTTGCTGCAAAAAAATAAATGCCAGTAACAGTAGTTTGATAGATTTATTCATGTACATTAGTTTAGATTGAATAGGATCTTTCAAAAAAATGAAATCCAAGAAAACAAGTTTACACCCAGCAACCAGCACAAATCAGGCAAACCGCGCTGCAGACGCCAGTTTCAGAAATTGTTTTACACGGAATCAAATCTTAATAGCATGGATAAATTCTTGATTAGTTGATGCCAGTTTATCCCCACCTGTTATCGTCATCTTCCATCTAATATATGGATAAATTCTAAAGTGAGTCCCTAATGATATCACTCAGTACAACATAGAAATCAAATTAATAATGCATTGACTGATAAAAGTGAAAGTTCCACTCGGATCAAATAACTCCAAATGCAAAACCAAGTATACATTGTGTCCCCTTCAGATGGAAGATTCTTAAAAGTGATGTACAGGAATAATCAATACGAATTGAATATAAGATTACATACATACACAAATCCGCCATACCATTCTTTCAGTGCAAACACATAATAGATGACCATCTAGTACAATACAATATTTCCATGCCCCTATGTTGAACCAGTGTGAACTAAGAAGAAAATGGTATATCTTTTCTCATACAAAAAATCTTTTAAGTTCAAACCTATAATTCACTAGCTCCCTGTTCTTCAAACATCAACATCTGAACGTGTTGGAAACTCGATGCCCATTAGTGCGGGTATATTGTCTAAATCCTCTTTTGAAAACAATGGAAGCAACCATAGGGCCTTCTTTGTGCCAAAAACCTATAAAAGAGGTCAAATAGATTTCAAACAACCACATATGTAACCGCATTCAATAGCTATTAGTTTATTGGGAGATGATTTAGTTACAATTACTTTATTTTCTATAAACACTTCCAGCATTATTTCCATGTAGAAGACTTTATTTAGTGTTAAATTACATCAAATTTGATAGGTCCATGATAGAGAATATGGGCTGTTGGCTCTTGGAGCAGTTAGAATCACACTATGCTGCTAGTTCCCATTTTCAATAACAATACACCTTTTTCCACCAAATCTATTTCTTGCATATTCTGCTTTATTATCCTTTTATTTGTCTCCCCACACTCGGGTATGCATCAAACGGGTCCAACCTACAGGATTGCATTACTAAGAAAGATGACTCAATCGGAATCATTGTACTAAGGAGTGGCGAATGCCTCGCATTTGTTGAACAATTTTCTGAGATACATGCTCATATCAAAGAGGATCAGGACCATCTAGTGTTCACTTATCACCCAGAGTAGAGACACAAAGGAGGGGGAAAAGTCGATGGCGAAGAAAGGAAAAGGTGATGAATCCTTAGGTGTTGAGGTCAAGAAATTACTCCACAGGATCAAGGGTGACATGATGGATGAATTTCGCCAATCGGTCAAGTAGATCGAGTTGCCAATGTTTAACGGCAAAGATCATGCGCGATGGATTGAGCATGTAGAGAGAAGAGTTATGGACTTTGTTGCAAAGAGAGTAGATCAGGTGGAGAATAATCAAACAAGGTAGAAGAAGATCTAGAAAGACCAAGAGAAACTATTAAAAAAGATCTTGAGATTACCGAATTGGATAGAAACATGGTTTTTGAAAGAACATTATGGTGTAATTTGATCCATGTAGCCGACCCCCACTTAGTGGGATAAGGCTTGGTTGTTGTTGATGATCATGCAGGGTGGATTGACCCGTGCATAGATTTACTTCTGTGTCCAGGATACAAGCCTAGAAGTGAAGCTAAGGTTGGCTCAATTGAGCATAAAGGGCCCTACGATTCATTTTTTCAGAGCCTTGGCTAATGACAATGTCAATCTGACGTGGGAAAAGGTGAAGGATGCTCTATTGGAACGTTATGGGGAATTGCATAAAGGAACCTCTCAGAGCAACTTTCCACTCTGCAGCAACAAGGTTTCATGGAGGGGCATATTCGTGAATTTGAGAAGTTGGTGGCGCAGATGGATAGAGTTCCAGATGCTCAATTCACTGGCTATTTCATTTGTGCCTTGAAGGAGGGAATTAGGGGTCAAGTGAGCAGCTTGAAGGCACTGCATCCAATTTCACGCACCATGGTGATGAATCTGGCCAGAGCAGTGGAGATCAAAGTGAATGAGAAGAGTGGATGGATTGAGTCACGGGGAAGCAGGTTGAACACCGCCATTAGGTCCAATCCTTCATCTGGCTCCAGGTCGAGTAACCCAAGTCGAGCCCAAGGGAATGATTGGTAAAAGGGAGCAAAGTGAATCCAAGCGTATTGGAAATGGGCCTCCAACAAGAAGTGAGCCCAAAACAGATAGGAAGGGAAGCACTGCACTGGATAGAGTTGTGAAGCATCTCTCCTATCACGAGAACACTTGAAGAAAACAGAAGGGGCTATGTTTCAAATGTGGTGGTCTGGGGAAAAAATTGTGGGTCATAATTGCTAAAGATGACGACGCCGGTGACGATGAGGCGCTGGTGTTGGCTGCCGAGACTGAGGATGACGATTCCGAACCATACTGCTACCCCTGCCACCAGAAAAGTTAGAGAAACAGGCGGAATAAAATGTTGTAAACAGGAGTTATCGGACCCAACCAAAGTGCTTTTTCCAGTCCTGTTATTTTGGTGAAAAAGAAGGATGGGACGTGGCGGATTGGATGTGTGTGGATTACCGTGCGCTAAATAAGGTGGGTGTACCTAATAAATTCCCCATACCCGCAATTGTTGAGTTGATTGGCGAGTTGAGTGGAGCGCAATATTTCTCCAAACTTGACCTTAAATCTAGAAACCACCAAGTGCGAGTGCAAGAGAAAGATGTGCCCACAATGGTATTCCGCACTCACGAGGAACATTATGAATTTTTAGTCATGCCATTTGGCTTGATGAATGCTCCGTCCATGTTTCAAGCCTTGCTGAATGAGATTTTTAAACCATGGCTCCGGAAGTCGGTGTTGGTGTTCTTTGATGATATTCTCGTGTATAGTCCCGCATGGGAGGACTGTATTAGGCAAGTGGAAGAGTTGTTGTGTGTGCTGAAGCAGAACAGTCTAGTGGTGAATCATAAGAAATGTTCCTTTGGTTAAACGTTGGTCGAATATTTGGGTCATATCAAATTTCATGCGGGGGTAGCAATGGACCCAAGCAAGGTTGAAAGTGTTCTCAAATAGCCTCCAATGAATGTTAAAGGAGTAAGGGGATTTCTTGGTCTCGCCGGGAATTACCGGAAATTTATTAAAGATTGCGGCAAGTTAGCACGAACCTTGACAGACCTTACTAAGAAAGACAATTTCTGATGGTAGCAAAAAGAGGTATAAGCAAATTTATTACAGAAAGTGATGCCTCTGGAAACGGCCTTGGTGCAATTTCGATCCAAGAGGGGAGGCCGATTGCCTTCTTTAGCAAGCTCTTATGATAGAAACTTAAGTATTCCTACAAAAAGGAACTGATGACTGTGGCGCTTGCAATTCAGCATTGGCGGCCATACTTGTTAGGAAGGAGGTTTATGGTGTGTACCGACCAAAAGAGTCTTAACAGTTACTGCTGCAGCGAATTACTACTAAGGATCAGCAAAACTGGGCTGCAAAACTGCCGGGGCGTCAATTTGATATTGTCTACAAGCCGCGGCTGGAGAGTAAGAGGGCTGATGCTCTTTCATGCATGCATGAAATTGCTGAAAATAATTCTCTCAAACATGTTTCTCAATGGGCAAACAGCAAGAAGATAATTGATGAAGTTCATCAAGATGCTGAGTTGAAAAGTTATTACAGCATTACAGTAAGGAGCTGAGGCCAAAATTGGATTTACTTATAAGGAGGGAGTTTTATTATACCATGGCAGGCTTGTGGTGTCAGCAAAGCCATTATGGATTCCCACCTTGTTGAGGGAATTTCATGCCACTCCACGAGGTGGATATTCTGGCGTTCACCGCACTTCCGACATGTGATGGCGAATCTTTACTGGGTAAACATGAAGAACTCAGTGTTGGAGTTTGTACGAGGTTATAATGTGTATCAAAGACAGAAGTATGCGGCCACGGCTCCAGGAGGGTTTTGCAGCACCTTCCCATCTTCAGTCAGACCTGGGAGGATCTCTCAATGGACTTCATCACATAGCTTCCTAAATCCCGGATGTTTGAGGCAATATTTGTGGCGGTGGATCGGTTGACATAGTACAGCCATTTTGTTCTCTTGAAACATCTGTATACCGCTCGCAGCCTGGCGGAAATTTTTCCTAAGGAAATCATTCGCTTACATACATACTCGCCCACATATTGTGAGTGATAAGGATACATATTTGTGGATAATTTTTTAAGGGAGCTCCTCAAATTGTAGGGTACGCAGCTAGGGGTGAGCTTGGCTTACCATCGTCAAACTAACGGCCAAACCGAGGTGGTAAACCAATGTTGAGACATTCCTGCATTGCTTTATCAAAGATCAGCCTAAGACATGGGCTCGCTGGTTACCATGGGCCGACTATTGGTACAACACCACTTCTCATGCTTCGATTGGCTCGACTCCTTTTGAAGCGGTGTACGGAAGTTGTTCAGCGTAATCTAATGAACAAGGATGAGGCACTGCGGCAGCTTACGTGCCACATGCAATGTGCTCAGGGTCGTATGAAGGATCAGGCTGATCATAAAAGAAAGGAAATGAATTTTAGGTAGGAGATTGGGTGTTTTGAAGTTGAGGCCACATGTACAGCAGTATGTTGAGGTAGGGATCCTAAATTGGCTCCGCGCTATTATGGACCCTTTTAAGTGCTTGAGAAGGTTGGGGCCGTCGCTTACAAACTCCAGTTTCTGGAATCGGCAAGGAGTCACCCCGTCTTCAATGTCTCTTTGCTGAAGAAAGATGTCAGAAATTATAGGGTGGAGAAGGAGTGTCCTAAACGGCTGGCCAGCAATGTGGCTAATTCTTGGGAACCTGTGAAGGTGTTGGCTACTCGAAGCATTAGTAAAGGAAGGTCCATGAGGTGGCTACTCGAAGCATTAGTAAAGGAAGGTCCATGAGGAGGCTACTTGGGAGGATGGGTTCACAGTTCGCAGTCAATTCCCTAATCTCAGACTTGAGGACAAGTTTCTTTCTCTAGGAGGGCTTGTAAGACCCTATAATAAATAGTTAAATATTGTGAAACAATTTACTTTATTGTTTCACCATCATTTTGTATATAGTCTTTGGCTACTTGATATTCGATATTACCTGCTCAAAATTTGTCTTCCTTCCCAAGTCGTACCTCCACCTAATTCCTTTTTTCTTTTCATGAACCTAAAACATTATTTTTCCAAATGATCTTTTTAGATAAAAGAAAGCACTGAGCTGCAGGAAAAATAATCAAGATCATACAAGGCTGATATCTTAATTTTTTGAAAATAATGCCAAATTGTTTTAAAATTACCTGGTAGTTAGTGTACCAGGCTTTTGTAAAGGTCAATATCAATGAGACAACAATGAGCGGATAGTTGAACAAATAACTAAGTGAAACAAAAATTAGCCCCCAAATAGTTAACCCGGCCATGTTGTACAAAACGGTTTTGATGATTCTGTTGTAAAAGCTTAAAATAAACATTGCATGATTTCTATGTCAATTGAACAAGAATATGTTGGGTCTATAGTTTGACGATATTGGTGCATAAGCAATAGCATGAGCCCAAACCAATTTCAAAGAGGTAAATAAAAAAAATAAAACTGTATTGATTACCTCTACTGAAGTTGTGTTGCTTAACAGAAGAGATAAATGCATAACTACGAAACAGAGAAGACTCAGCGCAAAGGCTAAATTGAGAACTGCATCAAGGCAATCAATCTGTAAGGAGCAATAATAGTCATGACAATGCAATAAAAAACTAATCTGAGTAACTTGGTTTATACAAGAAAATTACTTATACTTACTAGAAGTCAAGAAAATTGCAGAAAAGGCCCCGGGAGACAATTTATGAGTCGTGGTTGAGTTGGTTCCCCCAAAGAATCTAATAAAATTAGGTATCAGAGCTAAGCAAACCAGTGTTGTTTCGAGGAATGTATACAGCTACAAATGGTGGGGACAAAAAAAGTTAGGAATAGCATTACTAGAAGTAGCAAGTCAAGTCATTCGACTTCTTCTAACAGAATTGCTTACACTTTCTGTTCGTGTTAGCAAAGGATATATAATCATTGTATACCGATATAGCAGTTATATTAATGTAAAAATACACAAATCTATCACTTAATAAAATTTCAGTGTTACATGGCCAACAACTTTCCAATAAACAAATGTTTACCTAGTCATTTCAATGAACAGATTCACAAAAGCAAGGCTTAAGGAATTGACAATAGAATTTTTACTTGAACAAAAGAAACAAATGCCTACTATAATTACATTAGCAATTAATGGATAAAAAGTAAGAAAGATTTACCAAGAAGAGAAGAAAATACTTGTAATTCCGTGCCCCGACACAATTAACCACCCAAATACAATGATGATCCATCTTAAGAACACACCTTTGACCTAAGAAAAATAGCAAGAGAGCTCATATAACATGTTCACAATAATAAACTAATTAACTATGAATCACATTCGCTGGAAATACAGCCGACACTGACACGTCGACTTAAAAAATAATAAATTAAACATAATCAAAAGTGACTGTGTCAGTGTCGCTGTCGGTTTTGGAGACAGGCAAGTGTCGGTGCTACATAGCTAATTAATGCTATATTAGTAACAAACTAAGGTGAAACATGATTGATTGAAAAAATTGAAGAGCAAAACCTAATTGATTTAAGCAACAAAGGAAATGAAAAAAAAAAGTTACAAATGGAGCAGTGATGACACCGTGGCGGCCTGGCGCTTTGGCACCGAGTACAGTAACCGGCAGAGGATATTGCTGTTGTTTCCGCCGCCTCATCCAATTCGCCGGAAGGTGGTGGAACTGCAACATGTAAATTGCGGTGATCATCTACCTCCACCTGTAAAAACTGTTGATGCGGTCTCCAATTTTGAGGAACCGAACCTGGATCCTTAAGAACCGCCATAGAGTAGGACCAAGTTAATAACACAAGCTGCAAGCAAATAATCAAATAATCAAATACATCACTTAATTAATCGAATTGGAGAAATTAGTTAGAATCGATTATTGATGTGAGAGAGAGTGAGTTACGAGAGTGTGAAAGATGAGGAGAACGAAGAAGGCTAAGAAGGAGAAAGAGGGAAACAAGAGCGGGCCCCATGTGACGAAAACGACGGCGTAGTAGGTGAGAGAAACGATGGCGGCGAACAAGAGGATCATGAGGTAGCCAAGGACTCTGAGAAAGGAGCAGAACTTGAAGAGGTTAATGTTGAGCATTGTTGTTAATGGAGTGTTTGGAAATGGTGGAAGAATTCGTCTACTGGTTCTCCGCGTTGGGAAGAGGCGGTTCCATGTGTATGATGAAGCCAGGATTGGTTGATAGATTGGTATGCTTGTTTGATTCTTCCTCGATGCTGGTGATGAAGTAACCACTTTGGGTTTGGGGTTTCACTTCCACTTTTCTTTCTCCCAACTCGAGAAACTTTGCTTTTAGAAGACGGTTTAGGTGTGGGTCGAGTCGGATCCAAAGTACATGTTCCTCCAAAACACAATTAAGGGATTATTAATTTGTTAGGATAATTTAGGAATTATTAATTTGTCTCCTAGAGAACTTAATATGTGATTACATGTAATGAAATGCTAATAAGGGTTGAATTCAATGATAATGATACCCAAATCTATGAAATCTAACTATTGACTGATTATATTGTCTAATACTTATTTGAAATTGCGCTCAAAGTTTAATTCAATTAAGTTATATATCTATTTGACGAATGATTAATGACATAAGACTTCTCTCGAATTAACATCAATTATAAAAGAAAATCACTCGTTTCGAGCTAATACAAAATTTTCTTTACAATATATGTCAATCATGTGAATCTAAAATTGTTGAATTAAAGCAAGTCATAAAGAAATATGAGAAAGGTCAACTTAGTTTGGGAAATGTTCTAAGTAGATAAAGATACTCAAATTATAAATGTGGGCTTGGAATATCTAAATTTGATAAACCAAAAGTACAAGCAAAACTATACACCTTTCATTTTCTTTTATAAGCAACTTTTAACTTTTTAGATTCATTGAATGATTAATATATCTAATATATATATTATCCAAACACATCATTTCAACGAATCTAAAAAATTAAAATTTATATATAAAAGAGAATGGAGGGAGTATTTATTAAAGCTAGCAATAAATTCAACAATGTGGAACTAAATAAAGTGCACAATATAATTCAACCTAAGAAGATTTATGTTATAAATAATTATCATGTTTATAAAAACAGTCATATTTTTAAACCTATAGATTCTTATTGCAATACAAAGGGACATATACATAATGTTTGTTATATTAGAAAATATGGTGTTCCTAATGGTGAGCATGCTTAGACACTAATGTTTGCTATATTATAAATTATGGTGTTTCTAATGGTGAGCATGTTTAGACACTAATATATTGAACAATTCACCCCTTACTTCGATTATGATGAAAAGCTTGAAACTTTGCATATGGAGGTTATCATTTTTCACTGTCTCTGCTAGGGTTTACTATATTTTCTTCTTACTCCTTATTTCACTAAAAACTCCTACGTTCAATGCCCTCCTCCTATATTTAAATAAAAACCTAATTTTTTATTTCATTTCTAATAATTTTACCAATGCTATTGATTATCACAAATTCTACTCACCCCATACATAATTAATTCTAGTTTATTGTCGCAAAACCATAAATTCTCACATTTTCTAATAATTTTAAATATTAAACTATAATTCAATTCTCCCAATTATTCTTAACCCAAATAATAATTAATTAATTAAATAAAAGACAACTCAAAAAGCTCAAATAAAGTTAAATAACATTTAGAATAAAAACCAGGGTGTTACACTGGGTGGTGTGCTTATGCAGAAAGGTCAAGTTGTAGCTTATGCTTCGTGAAAACTTAAGACTCGTGAAAGGACCTATCATACCCATGATTTGGAATTAGCGGAAGTGGTCATTGTGCTTAAAATTTTGAGGCAATATCTTAATGAATCAAGATTCGAAGTTTTCAGTGATCATAAAAGTTTAAAGTAATGTTTGATCAAAAGGAATGGAACATGAGACAAAAGAGAGGGATGGAAATTTTAAAGGATTATGATTTCAAATTTAGTTATCATCCATGTAAAGCTAATGTAGTCGAAAATGATTTTAGTAGGAATTTGTTGCATATATTTATTTTGATGCTCAAGGAAATGGATTTGATTGAGTAGTTTAAAGACTTAAGTTTGGTGTGTGAGCTAACGCCGAAAAGTGTGAAACTTGATATGTTAAGGGTAACTAATAATATGATATAGGAAATTAAACATGGCCAGAAGTTAGACTTACAGTTATATTGTATCATTTAGCACTGATAAATCAATGAAAAAGTGGGTCTTAAAGTAGGTGATAATGGGATTATGAGATTTCAAAATAGAATTTGTGTGTCGGATATATATAACTCAAGAGGTTGATTTTGGAAGAGAGTTATATAAGTAATTTAGATATTCATCTAGAAGCTACAAAGATGTATCGAGGTCTTAAGAGAATATTTTGGTGGCTAGGTATGAAGAATCTTGTTGCTAAGTTTGTGTACTTTTGTTTAGATTGCCCAAAGTCAAAGATAGAACATCAGAAGTGTTGTACCCCAAAATTTGACCAACCTTTTCTTGTAACTTGCCTTATGTTTTCATTTCATTTCGCATTTCATCTGCATATCATTTAGGTTATTCATTTCTCGCATTTATGCTCGTGTCATTAGTCGGAGTGGATTATCGGGATTACAGCCGCTTTACTCGCGTTTCACACAATTCAAACAAGTTCAAGTGATGAGTTTTATGTCGAAATAGAGCGAAGTTGCTTTCTTCCTGGTGATTCTGTCTGTATTGATAATTTCGGTTGCGTTTCGGTGTTTGCTCGGTCTTTCCGTTTTTATTTCACTATTTTGTGTGATTTTATTCTTATTTTCTGCTTTTTATAGCTTTATAATATATCTTTTAGTTTTATGGATTTTTAATAGAATTAGAATTTTAATATTTTAGTTTTTTAGAAGTTAGATTTTTTATTTTAGAATTTAAATTTTAATAGGAATAAATTTTTATTTTAAGAATAGATATTAGATTTTTCTTTAGAATTATTTCAATTATATTAATATTAGTTTAAATAGATTTTGTTAATTTAGTTTAGATTAGATTATTAGAATTAATTAGTAGTTTTTAATTAAAATTAGTTAGGTTAGTGTTAATTATTATTTTTGAATTAGAATTAATTAGGTGTTTTTATTTAATTGAGTCATCATTTATATTAAGTATTAATTAGGACTAGTTCATTAATCAGTTTCAGCATGCTATTAACTTTTTTTTAATTAGGATTATCAAAGTCAGGTGCCACGTGTCGAACAGTGGGTATATAACTCACTGTTCATTTCCTTCAACCTGCAGACGGATCCTAAGACCTAGCCGCCCTCCCTTGTACACTATTCATCATCTTCACGAAATCACCTTCCTCCATTTTCTCTTCAAAGCAAACAAACAAAAATCTCAACTCCAACCGCAAATCCTTCTCCGTTTCACAACTCAGAAAATCATCACCTTCAACCATTTTTGTTCATCTTCTCAAACCCAAATCTTTCATTTTCTTCTTCACAAAAAACCTAGGTCAGTTGCGCCTCCATCACCATCTTCATCATCATCAGTTCTTCATCATCTTCATACCAACCAACTCAACCTCCAACCCCTTCCATTCACCACCTCTGCGACCCAAAACGAACACCAAACAACATTCATAGTCGCTACCCTTCGAATCTTCATCTTCTCCGACCCAGAGCTCCACCAAACCCATTTCGAAATACCCTTTTTCAAATTCACCAAACGAAACCCTCCACAAACTTCCATTAACAACCATCGAAGCTCATCTTCTTTTTCTTACCCAGAATCATGAACTCAAAACTCCATTCAACAACACAATCATCTCCTTCAATGTTTTCATACTCCAAAACCACCAACAACTCAAACATAAACCACCTTCACCATCACTCATCCATTTCACCATAACCCATTAACCCATTTTCACGATTCACTTTAAACCCCATCAAAGCCTACTCTCGGATTCAAATAGAGACCAAATAGAGGAGAAGTTTTGTTTTGAATAAAAAGTGGAGGGAGTGAAGTCTAGACAAAGAACGTTCAGGAACATGGGAACTTTTTTTTACTTCCTTTTTTTTATTTTCATTCTTTTGGCTGATGGGTTGACTGGGCTTCATGGCCCGTCTCTTTCATTTTGGAGTGTCCACCCTTGTTATTCAGCATCCCAACCGTGTTTCTCTCACCCCTCCCCTTTTTATTCTCTTTTATTTTTTCTTTATAATATTGTTATTATTGTTTTATTTGAGATTTTGTAAATAATTATTAAAACAATTTTTATGTATTAGTTTATTTAGTAAATATAATATTTTTCTAAAACTTTTTTAGTTGGTATATATATTTTAGTTTTTATTGAAATTATTAATATATTAGTTATATTATTAGAGTTTTATAATATTTTCTTTTAGAGCTTTATAAAAATATATTATAGTTTTAGAATTTATATTTTTAGAGTTAAATTTTATTTCTCCTTTGTTATTGGGCATTTTGTTTCATTTTTGCTTTTTGGGTCGATGACGAGACCTCCGTAAACCGTTATTAATCAAATTATTGATGGATAATGTTGGATCCAAGACCACCTCTTTTCTCTCCTCATTTCTCCTTCTTTCGATTTTATTTTGACTTTCTTAGATCGATGAAGTCCTGTATTCGTAAGCGTCAGATTTTTTAAGTCGATAACCTTCCCGATTTCAAATCTATGGAAAATGACCATTTGGGTCATTTTCTTTACATTGGGATCGCGATAGGCTACCTTCGATTAATCGACATTATGTTTGCGGTTAAGACGAAATCCCACTGTTTTTGATCCGTGCGACATGATTAAATCGGATAATGATCCTCAATACCATTTCTCTATCTTGTCTTTAGCACGAATATCAATCACGCGACCTCCTATAGTTTGACTTCCCTTATAAGTCGAACTACGATGGTTTAGCGTCACATTGTGTCCCGATTCGATTCACCAACACTGTCAAACCATCTTCAATAAGAGATTGAAGTTTCTCTTCATATTGAATTAAAGAGAGAGGATTGAGTGTAGACTTTTTCCTCTTTGAGTGTCAGGATACTCACTGTAGAGTGTGTGGTCTTGATACTTGTCTTTCAATACAAAGACGC